CAGATGTAACCACTTAAGTACAGTACATATGGTTCTAGTTTTCTTCTAAATTCCATTATGTGCTCACGGGAATTACAAAAGTATATAAGCACTGAGATTTCTTTAAGGCAGAGTACGTCTTTTTGCGTCCTCTCCTGTGATCACAGTAAACGCTTCTGTCTGACCTGAATCTGTAAATCAGACTGTGTGTTTATTCCACAACACCTTTTAATTTAAATGAGCATCTCCTTGTTATGAGAATGATCATCTTAGGCTACATTTACACTGCATGCTTATTTTGGAATTTATTTTCCAGAATAGCTTATTTTGAAATAGCATGTCTACACACAAAAGACCCCCAGCTGCTTGAGCAGACCCTCAACCTGTCTGGGAGTGCAGCTCTTCCAGCTGCACCCCACTGTGCACCACTGCTTCTGGCGGCTGGACACCAGTTCCGACTGGTGGGACCAGCTCATCATGGAGCGGTGGGACGACCAGCAATGGCTCCAGAATTTCCACATGTGGACAGGATGCTTCCTGGAGCAGTGTGTGTGGCTCACCCCTGCCCTCAGGTGATGGGACACTCACGTGCGACTCTCCATCCCCCTCTAGAAGCATGTCGCTATCACACTGTGGGGGCTCACCACACATCTACCGCTCCACCGGGAACCAGTTCAGTGTGAGATCAACCGTTGGGAACATGGTCATGCAAGTATGATGCTGTCATACTATTATCCCAGGAGGGTGATGAACTGTTCCTTAGGGAAGGGGGAGGAGTGGTGGAAGCTCCCTCCCTGGAAGATTTTTCAGTCCTGCCTTCACAAAGCCCTGCCGGGGAGATGGGGTAAGTAGGGGTTGGTCCTGGTGTGTGGGGAGGAGGTGGTGGGGGTTGGGCTCGGGGACCTCCCAAAGGTCCCAGCAACACTGATTCCCTGTTTGTCTTCTTCTACAGGTGGTGAGGGTCATCAACACCATCCTGTTGCACAGGATCATCATCCTGGGTGACATGGACCCCATCATAGCCGGCTTTCCCACTATGGTCTTCCCCAACTGTGGAGGGCCATTGATGGCACTTATGCCCCCATCTAGGCCCCCAACCACCAGGCATTGGATTATATCAACCACAAAGAGTACTTTTCTATTGTCCAGCAGGCCCTTGTGGACCACCAAGGCTGGTTCACCAACATTAACGCTGGGTGGTCCTCTTCCAGAAGTTCCTCACTGGCACTTTTTTTCCTGACTGCTCCATCAGGGTCAGGGATGTGGCCATGCCCATGTGAATTGTGGGGGACACTGCCTACCCTATGCTCCTGTGGCTAATGAAGCCCTACACTGGACACCCAGACCCCACCAAGGAGTGTTTTAATGCAAGGCTCAGCAGGGCCCACATGCAAGGCTCAGCAGGGCCCCATTTGAAAGGACAGTTCTGCTGCCTCCTCACCTGCCTGGACCTCGGTGAGCAGAATGCTTCCCAAGTGGTGGCAGCCTGCTGTGTCCTCCACAATATTTGTGAAAGGCTAGGGCAGAGGTTTGGGGTGCAGGAGGGGGTTTATGACTGAGGCAAGGGTTCAGGATGTGGATTCCAGCTGGACACTGCTTACCTCAGGTGGCTCCTGGGTGGTGGAGCAGTGGAGTTAAGGCAGGCTCACCCCTGCCCTGGCCCTGCACCACTCCCAAAAGCAGCCAGCAAACTCCCTCCATCCCAAGCCCTGTTGTGCCCCCCTCCATTCTGTAGCGATAGAATACAGGGTGGGAGGGGGCACCCTGACATCAGTGCCCCTCCTCTCCCTTTTCTGTCCTGCACAGCAAGCAGGGGAGGGGGAACACAGCTCCAAGGCAAAAAGCAGGCGATGCACAGCAGTGGGGGCAGGAGCAGCTGAAGTGCAGGCACTAGATAGCTTCTTGGCAAAACCAGTCAAGATAACGTCAGAAGCTCCAAGTGGTTGGTGACCACTAGTCTACATAAATCACAAGGGCTAATCCTCCATGATCCTGCAGGCCCTTATCAACCACCATGGACAGTTCACCGACATCTTTGTTGGCTGGTCGGGGAAGGCACACGATGCCCACGTCTTCAGAAACTCCAGCCTCTTCCAGAAGGAAGCCAGCACTTTCTCCCCCAACCGCACCATCAGGGCTGGGGATGTGGACATGCCACTGTGCATCGTGGGGGATGTGGCCTACCCTCTCATACCATGGCTCATGAAGCCCCCACACTGGACACCTTGACCCCAGCAAGGACCGCTTTAACACCAGGCTCAGCAGGGCCTGCATGGTGGAGGAGGGTGCCTTTGGGCATCTCAAGGCAAAGTTCATATGTCTCCTCACCTGGCTGGATGTTGGGGAGCAGAACATCCCCCAAGTGGTGGCCATGTGTTGCATGCTCCACAACATTCATGAGAGGAAGGGGGAGGCGTTCCTCCCTAGCTGGGGGGCAGAGGCCAGCCAGGAGGAAAGGGCCTTTGAGCAGCCGCACACAGCTGCCATCCACCAGGCCCATCAGGCGGGGGTGCACATCCAGGAGGCCCTGAGGGAGAGTTTCTCACAAGGACCTCAGTGACACTCTCTTCAGGGGCTTGTGCCTTGCCTCCCTCTGCCTTTCCTCCCTCACCCCTCCCTTCCCTGCAGAGACAATGAGAACCTTTTAGGGGGGGTGAGGAGAGGCTCACGGCTGTGTGGTCGAGACTGGCTCTGCACGTGCATTCAGGTGCACTGACTGCAGCGCAAACCCCAGCCTGAGAAGGCTGCGTGAAGAGTGTGTCCCAGCCCCTCGCTGCCCACCTCCACCCTGTCTGTCACATATGCCTGAGATCATTCACCTGATGATCCTTCCCTGGCCTTGGAGGATCCCTGGGAGACATCCAGGCCGTGGGGTACTGGCTCCAGGGTCACCGTGGTGACGGTGCTAGCCGTGTCAGGGTCCTCCTCTTCCTCCCCACGACTGGCTCTGCCCACCAGGTGGGCGAGTGCCTCCAACCCTGAGTCGACCACCAGGGTGGTGAAGGGGCTGCACTGCCCCCCAGGAGGCAGTGCAGGGCTGGGGAATAGGAGCAGGAGTGAGGCTCTGCCCTGGAGTGGGAGCTGTGCTCCCTGGCCTTCCAATAGGCCTGTCGGAGCTCTTTGACTTTCATCCGGACCTGCTCCCGGGTCCAGATGCGGCCTGGCTGTGGGCCATGCGGCCACATATGCCTGCGTTGCGCCGTCTGGAGCGGAGATCCTGGAGGTTTTCCTCCTCACCCCAAACTTCAACGAGGACCAGGATCTCCACCCCAGACCAGGATGGCGCATGCCTCTTGCACCACCTAGCAGGCTCCTGGGAGACATCACAGTGCTCCCTGGGAGTGGGGGAGGGCTCTTGGGTCAGCCATGGTGGCCTGATGAGGGGCTGTGGCAGCAGCAATATGGCTGGAGGCTGTCAGGGCCAGCTTCCT